CATTATATTGTGGCGTTGGTATGTGTTATTCTCTTAAGTAGGTCTATTTGGAAATAGCATTTTCCCACGCTGACGTAATGTCGGATGTCAGGAGGAGTTATGTGTGAAGTTTCTGAAGCTGAACATATGGAGATGCCCTCCGTAGTCTCTCTCTTAATCATGATTGTCCCTTTTGATGGACAGCGTCTCTCCAAGGATGTGTTTCTCAACCTTCCTAATTTATTTTATTTATCGTGTCAGGAGCAAACCAAACAGTGGTATTGCATTTTTTAACAAACAAACAAACAAACAGACAGACAAAACACAAAGTTTGCAAGCTTGGTAGTTGATTAAATGTCCTTTGATCAGTATCTGGCCACTTGGAGTGCCTCTGGTGTTGCTGCAAGAAGGTCCTCCACTGTGCATGTGGCAGGGCTCAGGTTGCATTGCAGCAGGTGGTCTGTAATTTGCTCTTCCCAACACTTGGCATGTCATGGATTCCACTTTGTGACCCCATTTCTTGAGGTTGGCTCTGCATCTCGTGGTGCCAGAGCGCAGCCTTCCAAGTCGCCCAGTTTTCTGTGTGCCCAGGAGGGAGTCTCTCATTTGGTATCAGCCATTGATTGAGGTTCTGGGTTTGAGCCTGCCACTTTTGGACTCTCGCTTGCTGAGGTATTCCAGCGAGTGTAGTCTGTAGATCTTAGAAAACTATGTCTTGATTTAAGTCATTGATGTTCTGGCTGATCCCAAACAGGGGATGATGTTATGATGTTAAGGATGCCATTACCCCTTAATACAGTTCCTCACGTTGTGGTGACCCCCCCCCCCAGCTATAAAATTCCTTTCGTTACTCCTTCATAACTGCAATTTTGCTACTGTTATGAATTGTAATGTAAATATCTGATATTCAGGGTATATTTTCATTCACTGGACCAAATTTGGCACAAATACCTGATACGTCCAAATTTGATTAGTGATGAGGTTGGGGTGGGGGATGATTTAGATCGGTGTTTCTCAACCTTCCTAATGCTGCGACCCCTTAATACACTTCCTCATTTTGTGGTGACCCCCAATCATAACATTATTTTAATTTCTACTTCATAATTTTGTTATTGTTGTGAATTGTAATGTAAATATCTGATATACAGGATGCATTTTCAGTCACTGGACCAAATTTGGTACAAATACCCGATACCAGTGGGGTTGGAGCAGTAGCTGACCACTTGGAGTGCCTCTGGTGTTGCTGCAAGGAGGTCCTCCATTGTGCATGTAGCAGGGCTCAGGGTGCATTGCAGCAGGTGGTCTGTGGTTTGCTCTTCTCCGCACTCGCATGTCGTGGATTCTACTTTGTGGCCCCATTTCTTAAGGTTGGCTCTGCATCTCGTGGTGCCAGAGTGCAGTCTGTTCAGCGCCTTCCAAGTTGCCCAGTCTTCTGTGTGCCCAGGGGGGAGTCCCTCATTTGGTATCAGCCACTGATTGAGGTTCTGGGTTTGAGCCTGCCACTTTTGGACTCTCGCTTGCTGAGGTGTTCCAGCGAGTGTCTCTGTAGATCTTAGAAAACTATTTCTTGATTTAAGTCGTTGGCGTGCTGGCTGATACCCAAACAAGGGATAAGCTGGAGATGTCACTGCCTTGGTCCTTCCACTATTGGCTGCTACTTCCTGGCGGATGTCAGGTGGTGCAATACCGGCAAAACAGTGTAATTTCTCCAGTGGTGTAGGGCGCAGACACCCGGTGATAATGCAGCATGTCTCATTAAGAGCCACATCTACTGTTTTAGTGTGGTGAGATGTGTTCCACACTGGGCATGCGTACTCAGCAGCAGAGTAGCATAGCGCAAGGGCAGATGTCTTCACTGTGTCTGGTTATGATCCCCAGGTTGTGCCAGTCAGCTTTCGTATGATATTGTTTCTAGCACCCACTTTTTGCTTGATGTTCAGGCAGTGCTTCTTGTAGGTCAGAGCACGGTCCAGAGTGACTCCCAGGTATTTGGGTGCGCTGCAATGCTCCAGTGGGATTCCTTCCTAGGTCATCCTCAGAGCTCGGGATGCTTGTCTGTTCTTAAGGTGAAAGGCACATGTCTGTGTTTTAGATGGATTAGGGATCAGCTGGTTTTTCCTGTAACAGGCAGTAAGAGCACCTAGAAACTGATTAGAATTCATATAAATCAGTGCACGGAAGACTGTTTGTTCTGAAACTTGTCAGACTTACAGTCGTAAAAGTGATCTGTTTTAGCCGCGAATAGTCTTATCCATTGGGGAAGGCTGACTGTAGAAGTATTCTTGAGCAAGCTTTCACATAAAAATGTCTTGCCAACAGAGACTGAATGCCAGGGAAGGCTTATTTGATTAAAGTAATATCATAAGCAAAGCTATTCAGATTAGCCCCGAGTGTGTTTAGTCTCCTTCAATGTCAGAATGGGGAATACAGTTGAGTTGGAGGAGCTTATGTACCTTTCAGTGTTGACTTTTGCAATGCATTGTGCACAAAAAGTTTCCGCCTTGTTATCTGGAGATGGGGTTTTCCTGAAACAGGTGATCAGGCAAGTGGCGTATTTTAAGATTGGCAAAGTATTATTCTGAGTGAGCCGGGGGCTATAGCTCTTAGTGAAAGAGGCATGGACATGACATCTTTCCCCCAGGGGACTGCTTCTTGCCCTCCTTTAGGAAACTGGAACTCTCAAAGACCCAAACACTGCAGATAACTCAAAATAAGTTTTATTGTTCACAAAGAGTTAGCTCTTTAAGGCAATAAGCTGGAAGTTTCAAAGGGGTGAAGGAAAATGTACATTACAGTCTCTGGTTGCCTTGGGTCCAAGGAGTTTTGCAGCTGTGAAGCTTTTCCAGGTCCCTCTTTCTCAATGGCTGTGAATGCTGGAGCAATCCACAAACCCGGTCCAAATGGCCTTTGTTTGAAGACACAGGGTCTTCCTCTGGTGCCAAAAGAACTGGTTTGAAGGCACTTGAGACTTCCCAACGTCGTTCAGGTTGGTCTGAACATGAAGCATAAGTCTCAAGGGTAAGAACCTCAGAATTGGTGCTGAGAGGTAACTTAATCAGGGGCTTTTAGAGACAAGTCTCTTACTTACGTCCATCTGGTAGAAAATCTGATGGTGGAATGAAAAAGGGAAGCACTCCCCTCTTCCAGGACGAGGTGGAACCAAACAATTAAGCTGAAAAGGCAATTCAACTGGTACAAACAACACTGATTGACAGCTATAAATAACCAATCAATCCAACTATACGTAAGCAGGGTAAAAAGGCAGGATTAAGTTTAAATCTTGCAACTAACAGTTCTACACATAGGTGGCACCACTCGTGCTGTCACACTGAGCAATTGGCAGAATGTTACTACAGAGTATTGGTTATGATTTTGGTACCAAGCTTTCTGAGAGATATGAACACAACGTTTTTGCAGCCATACAGCTCATTAAAGTCCACCTTCCCCAGCTGGCAACACGTTTGTCATAAGTTCATTGGTAATTAGGTAAAGGTAAATAAAGTTTTCCCCTGATATTAAATCTATTTGTGTCCGACTATGGGTGGTGGTGCTCATCTCCATTTCTAAGCTGAAGAATCAGCATTGTCCATAGACACCTCCAAGGTCGTATGGACTGCATGGAGTATCGTTAGCTTTCCACAGAAGCGGTACCTATTGATATACTCACATTTGCATGTTTTTGAACTGCGAGGTTGGCAGAAGCTGGGTCTAACAGTGGGAGCTCACCCCATAGACACCTCCAAGGTCAAGTGGCTAGCAAAACTGCATGGAGTGCCGTTACCTTCCTGCAGAAACGATCCCTATTGATCTATTCACATTTGCATGTTTTTGAATTGCTAGGTTGGCAGAAGCTGGGCCTAACAGCGGGAGCTCACCCCATAGACATCTCCAAGGTCATGTGGCTAGCATAACTGCATAGAGCACCGTTACTTTCCTGCAGAAACGATCCCTATTGATCTATTCACATGTGCATGTTTTTGAATTGCTAGGTTGGCAGAAGCTGGACCTAACAGCGGGAGCTCACCCCATAGACACTTCTATGGTCATGCAGTTAACATAACTGCATGGAGTGCCATTACTTTCCTGCAGAAACGATACCTATTGATCTACTCACATTTGAATGTTTTCGAACTGCTAGGTTGGCAGAAACTGGGCCTAACAGCAGTTTCTCCAAGGTCATGTGGTTAGCATAACTGCATGGAGTGCTATTACCTTCCTGCAGAAGTAGTACCTATTGATCTATTCACATTTGCATGTTTTCGAACTGCTAGGTTGGCAGAAGCTGAGCCTAACAGCGGGAGCTCACCCCATAGACACCTCTATGGTCATGTGGTTAACATAACTGCATGGAGTGCCGTTACTTTCCTGCAGAAACGATACCTATTGATCTATTCACATTTGCATGTTTTCGAACTGCTAGGTTGGCAGAAGCTGGGCCTAACAGCTCACGCCGCACCCCATAGACACCTCTATGATCATGTGGTTAACATAACTGCATAGAGTGCCGTTACCTTCCTGCAGAAACGAGACTTATTGATCTATTCACATTGGCATGTTTTCGAACGGCTAGGTTGGCAGAAGCAGGGCCTAACAGTGGGAGCTCACCCATTGACATCTCCAAGGTCATGTGGTTGCTAGGTTGGCAGAAGCTGGGCCTAACAGTGGGAGCTCACCCCATAGACACCTCCAAGGTCATGTGGCTAGCATAACTGCATGGAGTGCCGTTACTTTCCTGCAGAACCGATACTTATTGATCTATTCACATTTGCATGTTTCTGAACTGCTAGGTTGGCAGAAGCTGGACCGAACAGCGGGAGCTCACCCATAGACATCTCCAAGGTCATGTGGTTGCTAGGTTGGCAGAAGCTGGGCCTAACAGCAGGAGCTCACCCCACTTCCCAGATTCAAACCGCCAACCTTTTGGTCAGCAAGTTCAGTAGCTCAGCGGTTTAACCCGCTGCACCACTACAGGGCCCTCATTAATAGTTATTAACTTGTGTTTTCCTCTTTTGTGGCAGTTCGGAGTTGGCATCGACTGGATCCGTGCCAATACTGCGATGGAGGAGAGGAATAATTTTTCCGCTCTCAACTCGCTGACCGAATATCACGCCGTCAAGGCCGACAAGAACAATCACAGCAGCAACGGACAAACACACAGAGAGAGCAATGGGGCCATGCAGCTGAAGAAGGAGATCTCCCTTCTGAATGGGATCAGCCTCATAGTTGGAAACATGATTGGTTCAGGGATCTTTGTCTCCCCCAAAGGGGTCCTTTTTTATAGCACTTCCTATGGATTGTCGCTGGTGATCTGGGCCATTGGAGGCATTTTCTCCGTCTTTGGTGCTCTCTGCTATGCTGAACTGGGAACCACGATCACCAAGTCGGGAGCCAGCTACGCCTACATCTTGGAGGCCTTTGGGAGCTTCATTGCCTTTATTCGCCTGTGGACCTCGCTCCTGATCATTGAGCCAACCAGCCAAGCCATTATCGCAATAACGTTCGCCAACTACATTGTGCAGCCGGTCTTCCCTTCCTGCCAGCCGCCTTACGCTGCGTGCCGCCTCATTGCAGCCGCTTGTATATGTGAGTATTTCAGGAAAAAGTGGTCATGAACATGTTCGGCTTGAAATAGATCTGAAGCATTTGATGAAATTGGGATTCCAGACAGGGAAGCCTTTAGCAACACATAATGAAGTGTCTTTTCAAAATATGAAGTCCACAAGATGAATTTACTACAACTGTTCCCCTTGTGGAGATTCACTTTTCAGTAGGCAATTTCTGTAGGCAATGCCTCAGTATTGTTTCTATCTATATAAATAAAAATGTAATCTTTGTTTGTGGGATTAACATAACTCAAAAACCACTGGACGAATTGACACCAAATTTGGACACAAGACACCCATGCCAACAAGTGACCATCTATATCTATAAATCTGTTATGGCCATCCAACGGGACAGCTAAACTCAAAAAACCCCTGACGAAAATTTACCAAATTTACCATGCACATACCTCAACCCACAAGGTATGCACAAATTGATTCAAAATACTAAACAACATAACAACACACTTACAATAACACAAAACAACTGAGCATGTGCAATGGCGCCTCGCCGCAAGTCCTCGGCGCGTGCACATGGCCGAACGGCCAACGCACCCTCCATAGAATCATAGAATCAAAGAGTTGGAAGAGACCTCATGGGCCATCCAGTCCAACCCCCTGCCAAGAAGCAGGAATATTGCATTCAAATCACCCCTGACAGATGGCCATCCAGCCTCTGTTGAAAAGCTTCCAAAGAAGGAGCCTCCACCACACTCCGGGGCAGAGAGTTCCACTGCTGAACGGCTCTCACAGTCAGGAAGTTCTTCCTCGTGTTCAGATGGAATCTCCTCTCTTGTAGTTTGGAGCCATTGTTCCGTGTCCTAGTCTCCAAGGAAGCAGAAAACAAGCTTGCTCCCTCCTCCCTGTGGCTTCCTCTCACATATTTATACATAGCTATCATATCCCCTCTCAGCCTTCTCTTCTTCAGGCTAAACATGCCCAGCTCCTTAAGCCGCTCCTCATAGGGCTTGTTCTCCAGACCTTTTATCATTTTAGTCGCTCTCCTCTGGACACATTCCAGCTTGTCAATATTCCAGACATAGAAGCCTTTGGCAACACATAATGAAATGTCTTTTCAAAATATGAAGTCCACAAGATGAATTTTCTATAACTGTTCTCCTTGTGGAGATTCACTTTTCAGTAGGCAATTTCTGACTACTGCTGCCTCCAGGGGCGGCTCGTCCATTACGCGAAGTAAGCGGTCGCAGAACCCTTTTTTTTGCCAGGGGCGCAGAGGCGCCTCTGTAAATGCCCCCTGACCGCCACTTGAGGAGCGCCCCCTCAGCTCACAACAGCCCTAGCAGTCCGGGGGGAGCCTCGGCTTTCTTGCCTCACTGCCGGGTGATCTTCTTCCCAAAGGGGCTTGGCCCTTGAGCCTCGCCTAGCCCCTCTCGTTCCTGCTCCACCCGGCCACCAGGTGCGCGAGCAGAGCCGGCGCTCAATCGTTCTCCGCGTTCGATCCCTTCCCCATGACCGGCTCCCTTTCCTGATCCCCCAGCGCTCCACCCGCCTCCTCTCCTCTTTATTATTATTATTATTATTATTATTATTATTATTATTATTATTAAACTTTATTTGTACCCCGCTAGCATCTCCCGAAGGACTCGATGCGGCTTACAAAGGCCAAGGCCTCAACACACAATATAACAATACAACACCTAAGGCAAATTAAAAACAATTAAAGCAATATAAACAGCAAGCAATAAACAATACACTAAGACACAATAAAACTGGACCGGGCCAGAGTAATGGATACAGGATTAAAAGTGCTGATGTGACAGGAGGTATATAAGGCTTATAGGGCAAGTGCAGTGTGCGGTGTGCAGCAATCATTAGTTCTAGTAAAGTGCTTATTGGACTTGGTATTGGAGATTTCCTATTCTGGGATGGCACATCGGAACAGCCAGGTCTTCAAGTTCTTTCTAAAGACTGCCAATGTAGGGGCCTGTCTAAGATCTTTGGGGAGGGTGTTCCAGAGTCGGGGGCCACCACAGAAAAGGCCCTGTCTCGTGTCCCCACCAAGTGCTTGCGACGCAGGCGGGATCACAAGCAGGGCCTCTCCAGATGACCGAAGTGAACGCGTGGGTTCGTAGATGGAGATGCGGTCACGCAGGTAGGATGGTCCCAAACCGTTCAGGGCTTTGTAGGTAAGCACCTGCACCTTAAATTGGGCTCGGAAAATAAACGGCAGCCAGTGGAACAGGAGGGTTGACCTCTCTCTGTAAGGGGCCCCAGTTAACATCCTGGCCGCTGCCTGTTGGACCAGTTGGAACTTCCGAGCCGTTTTCAAGGGCAGCCCCACGTAGAGCGCATTGCAGTAGTCCAATCTGGCATGGACCACCCCGGCCAGATCCTCTCCCCAATCCCGCTTTGGGTCCAGAGGCGTGTCTGAAGACCCCAGCGTGCGCACCAAAAGTTGCCTCTTCTCCTGACTTTCTCTTCAGCCATTGGGACCAAGAGAGAGAGAGAGCCCCTCCGGCTGGAGGTATCTCCCACCTCCGCTCCCTCCTTTGTTTTTGCACCTACCTTCAGGAAAGGTGGGCATCTCCACCTCTCTCTCTTCTCTCTCTCTCTCTCTCGGTCCCAATGGCTGAGGAGAAAGTCAGGAGAAGAGGTGACTTTTGGTGCACACGCCGGGGTCTTCAGGCACGCCTCCGGACCCAAAGCGGGCCAGGCAAGGGAGCAAATGCGGCAAGTGTAGTTACTGGGATGTATAGTTCACCTACAATCAAAGAGCATTCTGAACTCCACCAATGATGGAATTGAACCAAATATGGCACACAGAACTCCCACGACGAACAGAAAATATATATCAATGATTGGTTGGGGGGGGGGGGGCAAAATACTGTTTGCTTACCATTGAAAATTACCTAGGGCCGCCTCTGGCTGCCTCAGTATTGTTTCTATCTATATAAATAAAAATGTAATATTCGTTTGTGGGATTAACATAACTAAAAAATCACTGGACGATTGACACCAAATTTGGACACAAGACACCGATCGGGCCAACAAGTGATCATCTATATAAATAAAAATGTAATGTTAGTTTGTGATACTATCAGAACTCAAAAACCACTGGGGGAACTGACACCAAATTTGGACACAAGATACCTAACAACCCAATGTATGTCCTCCACTCAAAAAAATGGATTTTGTCATTTGGGAATTGTAGTTTCTTGGATTTATAGTTTACCTATAATCAAAGAGCATTCTGAACTCCACCAACGATGGAATTGAACCAAACTTGGCACACAGGACTCCCCTGACCACTACCTCTGAGGATGCTTGCCACAGATGCAGGCGAAACATCAGGAGTGAATGCCTCTCGAACATGGCCACATAGCCCAAAAAAACCTACAACAACCCAATGTGCCGAAATATCAATTGCCATACATGTTATAGGTATTTTGATTTTTGCTATATAAGTTGTTTCTTTTTGGAGTTCAACTTCTGGAGCCAGGCAGGACAAAGCAGCGCTGGATGCAAAGCTGCATAACAGCTGATAGTTCAATCGCAGCCTGTTGTGCTGCAGAGGAGAGATTTCATCATATTCTTGTTTACTGTGCAGTTTCACGTTCTCTGGCTTGTCATAAGATACTCCCTTAGTGTCCTGTGTGTCCTATCAAATGGCCGTGGCTTAAAGGCAGGCGGTATTTTAAGCAGCCCTCTCGGAAATGTTACTCTCGACCTCTTGTTTTGTCCGAGTCTATGGCTTTGTTTCCCAAGCTTTGAAAGGTTACTATTTCAACTATGCCCAGAACAAAGACACACACACACATCCTAATATTGTCCTCTTTTTTTGCTTCTCTTTATCTTCTCCCAGGTCTCCTAACGTTTATAAACTGTGCCTACGTGAAATGGGGAACGAGGGTGCAAGACGCCTTCACTTATGCCAAAGTCCTCGCCCTTATTGTCATCATCGTCAGCGGAGTTGTTAGACTATGCCAGGGTAAGACTGAGAGTGGCATGTATTTGGGGATTACAGTCTATCTATCTATCTATCTATCTATCTATCTATCTATCTATCTATCTATCTATCTATCGTGTCAGGGGCAACCAGACCATTGTATTACATTCTAACAGAACAGAACAAACAAACAAACAAAAAAAAACACAAAGTTTGCAAACTTGGTAGTTGATTAAATGTCCTTTGACCAGTATCTGGCCACTTGGAGTGCCTCTGGTGTTGCCACAAGGAGGTCCTCCATTGTGCATGTGGCAGGGCTCAGGTTGCATTGCAGCAGGTGGTCTGTAGTTTGCTCTTCTCCACACTCGCATGTCATGGATTCCACTTTGTGGCCCCATTTCTTGAGGTTGGCTCTGCATCTCGTGGTGCCACAGCGCAGTCTGTTCAGCGCCTTCCAAGTCGCCCAGTCCTCTGTGTGCCCAGGGGGGAGTCTCTCATTGGGTATCAGCCATTGATTGAGGCTCTGGGTTTGAGCCTGCCACTTTTGGACTCTCGCTTGCTGAGGTGTTCCAGTGAGTGTCTCTGTAGATCTTAGAAAACTATTTCTTGATTTAAGTCATTGACGTGCTGGCTGATACCCAAACAAGGGATGAGCTGGAGATGTCACTGCCTTGGTCCTTTCACTATTGGCTGCTACTTCCGCGGATGTCAGGTGGTGCAATACCGGCTAAGCAGTGTAATTTCTCCAGTGGTGTAGGCAGACACCCCGTGATAATGCGGTATGTCTCATTAAGAGCCACATCCACTGTTTTAGTGTGGTGAGATGTGTTCCACACTGGGCATGCGTACTCAGCAGCAGAGTAGCATAGTGCAAGGGCAGATGTCTTCACTGTGTCTGGTTGTGATCCCCAGGTTATGCCAGTCAATTTTTGTATGATATTATTTCTAGCACCCACTTTTTGCTTGATATTCAGGCAGTGCTTCTTGTAGGTAAGAGCACGGTCCAGAGTGACTCCCAGGTGTGCTGCAATGCTCCAGTGGGATTCCTTCCCAGGTCATCCTCAGAGCTCGAGACACTTGTCTGTTCTTAAAATGAAAAGCACATGTCTGTGTTTTAGATGGATTAGGGATCAGCTGGTTTTCCCTGTAATAGGCAGTAAGGGCACCTAGAGCTTCGGAGAGCTTCTGTTCAACCATCTCAAAGCTCCCTGCTTGAGTGATAATGGCACGATCATCAGCATAGATGAAACTCTCCGTCCCTTCTGGCAGTGGCTGGTCATTTGTGTAAATGTGGGGATTACAGTGTTCCCTCGCTACTTTGCAGTTCGTTTTTCGCGGACTCACTGTTTCGCGGGTTTTTGCGTCCCGGTTTATGAATGGTTGACATTGCCCAGAGCGGTGTTGTAATCCCGCCTCCTGGCAACGATGAAGTGTGGAAGGGGGTTTCACCCTTCCCCTCGGGAGAGAGGCAGCCAATCAAGAGAAAATGCAAAACAAAGCAGAGATAGCTAGCAAAAAAAGGTGTGCGCTGTCTTTAAATCACTTCTCTGCCTTACCCTCGGAATGCCATCTATATAAATAAAAATGTAATGTTCGTTTGTGGAATTAACATAACTCAAAAACCACTGGATGAATTGCCGTCAAATTTGGACACAAGACACCTATCAGGCCAACAAGTGACCATCATTCATAAAACACTGAAAAACACAGCAGAAGAGACTTAAAAAGCCAAAAAAGCCACCCCCAAATACATCACAATGCATGCAGAAAACCACATATATAAACACAAACACACACATATATACACACATATATGCATATACAAACACAAAACACATACACAGAAAGGGGGAAGACAGAAGAAAGGAAGGAAGGAAGGAAGGAAGGAAGGAAGGAAGGAGAAGGAAGGAAGGAAGGAAGGAGGAGGAAAGAAGGAGAGAAAGAAGGGAGAGAAGGAAGGAGAGAAAAAGGGAGAGGAAGGAAAGAAAGAAAGGTAGAGAAGGAAGTATCAACACTGACAAAGAAACAGCAAGATATACTGTTTACCCACAAGCATGAAGGAATTACATATAGAATCATAGAATCAAAGAGTTGGAAGAGACCTCATGGGGCCATCCAGTCCAACCCCCTGCCAAGAAGCAGGAATATTGCATTCAAATCACCCCTGACAGATGGCCATCCAGCCTCTGTTTAAAAGCTTCCAAAGAAGGAGCCTCCACCACACTCTGGGGCAGAGAGTTCCACTGTTGAACGGCTCTCACAGTCAGGAAGTTCTTCCTCATGTTCAGATGGAGTCCAACCTCATTCTGCCAAGAAGCAGGAATATTGCATTCAAATCACCCCTGACAGATGGCCATCCAGCCTCTGTTTTAAAGCTTCCAAAGAAGGAGCCTCCACCACACTCCAGGGCAGAGAGTTCCACTGCTGAACGGCTCTCACAGTCAGGAAGTTCTTCCTCATGTTCAGATGGAATCTCCTCTCTTGTAGTTTGAAGCCATTGTTCCGCGTCCTAGTCTCCAGGGAAGCAGAAAACAAGCTTGCTCCCTCCTCCCTGTGGCTCCCTCTCACATATTTATACATGGCTATCATATCCCCTCTCAGCCTTCTCTTCTTCAGGCTAAACATGCCCAGCTCCTTAAGCCGCTCCTCATAGGGCTTGTTCTCCAGACCTTTTATCATTTTAGGAAGGAAAGAGGCAAGGAAGGATGGAACCAAAGAGCAAAGGAAGTGAGAAAAGAAACAGGTAGAGAAGGAAGGAAGAAGGTAAAGAAAAAGAGGGAGGGAAGGAAGGAGAGAAAGAAAAAAGGAAAGAAAGGGAAGGAAGGTTGGCCACAGCAACGCGTGGCAGGTACTAGAACTAGTATATAAATAAAAATGTAATATTTGTTTGTGGGATTAACATAACTCAAAAACCACTGGACGAATTGGCACCAAATTTGGACACAAGACACCTCTCAGGCCAACAAGTGACCATACAGAAATGCGAATACAGAAATGCGGTCACGCAGGTAGGCGGGTCCTAAACTGTTCAGGGCTTTGTATATAAGAACCTGCACCTTGAATTGGGACTGGAAAATGAACATATTTTATTATTAGTAATATTACATGTAATATAAAATATATAATTATAATATTGTATGATAATTATTAGTATTATATTGTATTACATTATAATATTATAAATATTATATGTATATACCATATATTACAGGGGTCCTCAAACTTTTTAAACAGAGGACCGGGTCACAGTCCCTCAAATTGTTGGAGGGCCGGATTATAATTTGAAAAAAAAATGAATGAATTTCTATGCACACTGCACATATCTTATTTGTAGTGCAAAATACACTTTAAAACAATACAATAATTAAAATGAAGAACAATTTTAACAAATATAAACTTATTAGTATTTCAATGGGAAGTGTGGGCCTGCTTTTGAGAAAGGATTGTTGCTGTTGTGTGCTTTCAAGTAATTTCAGACTTAGGTGGACACTGAGCGAGGGCCGGGTAAATGACCTTGGAGGGCCGCATCTGGTCCCCGGGCCTTAGTTTGAGGACCCCTGATATATTACGTTACATTATATTATTAGCATAGCACAGGAGACAAGGTGGAACTGTGTACAACCTTGGCCTTGAGCTTCCAGTTCTCCTCTTTCTTCTGTGATGTGATTATCTATAAAACCACAGCCCATGAATTGCTTCCAAACTAATTCTCAGGAATCAAAGCTAGGTATTTCTACATTGTGTTTCTTTTGGAAGGAAAAACAAGACGTCCTCAAACGTTTGGGGACGGAACCCAGACACCTTAATGAGCCAGACTCAGGAGTAAGTCCAAAACAACAGTTTATTAATACAAAGTAAAAGAGACTCAGAGACACTTGCTTCAGTGTCTCTGGTCAAAACTCAAAAGTTGCAGCAATTTTCATCTTGAAAAGCAAACTAAGGCAATAATCTGGATTATCCTGGCAAAAGATCCGGATTAAATAGGAGAACTTCCAAAATCCCACAAAATCACACAGTAAATGGAAAACAAACAAGCAAGAAGCCGTGAAGAAGAGCCGTCGTCCGAATGAAGTTCAAAGTCGAAGAAATCCAAGTCCAAAGTTGCAAGGTTCCAAAGTTCACAAGGCAGCGTCGTCGTCAGAAAGCAGTCCGTAGTCAAGGAAAGGGGAAATCCGCACTCACGAGAATCCAAGCTGGTTGGTAGCACGAAGCAAAACAGCAACCTGCAGATCCAGGACCCAAGCCCAACAGGAAAGCGGCAGCGACAAGACCCAAGGCACGAAACCAACACTTTGCCTACTGCAAAGTTCTACCATTTCAGTGTCTACTTTTACCTTACAACTCATCATCCGATGATGAGCTGCCATCCACCCCGTCCTCATCACTCTCAGCTGGTTTAGCTTCCACAGCTGAGCGCCAACGCCCATCCCTCCAACTCTTCCACCTCTTGTCAAGACTTAGGTCTCCCCAGGATTCCACAGTACCACCCGATTGCCAATCCCCACCACCAGAAAACCCCACAAAATGTGTCGCTAGACATTGGTTGAGTACACACATTCTGAACTTCTTGTACCTTGGTCCAATCCAGTGATTCATCCTCATCCCCATCACTCCCAGACCCATAATTCCCAGAAAAACCCATGAAATCTTCTTCTTCCATGGGAGCAGTAAGTATATCCTGGATCTTCTTTCTTTGACGCTCCTCACCTGACTCCTGCTCCCGAGTAACCCTCTTAGTTCCCCTATTCACATCCACTGTATCTTCTTCCTCCTCCTCACTCATTTCACTCTCGGAAAACCCTTCGAAGGACTCTTCATCAGTGGGTGACATAAGTATCTCCCGGATCCTCTTCCTCTGCTGTTCCGCATCTAACTCCTGAACACCTCTTTTCCCTCCTCTGACACTCCTACTACCAGTTGCAGTGTTGCCAACATACTCTACTACAACATTTGGCCTTGAGCATACTTACATTTGCAAAGATAGTATATCAAATCATAGGAACTTAGCTTAAAAGAATTTAAGGTACAGTAGTTAACTAAAG